CACTCTTTCAATTTCACCTTTTCTTTACTCTTCCATTCTTTTGTTCTCTTTTTTCTACCTGCCCATATTCATCACTTTTCTCTTCTTGTGAAGAAAACACCAGGGCAGAAAGAGCTGATGAGAAAGACGGGGTGGGGAGAGAATAAGCGGTAAATTTTCTATGCCTTCTGTTTTTGTTCCTTTTCCCTTTCTTATTCTTTTCTTGCCCACTTTACACCTGCTGCAACATCTTTATTGCCAGGCATCCGTCCTTTTCCCTTTATTTCCCTTGCCAACTGACATCGCATGGGACGTTGTTCTGGGTCACCTCCTCCGTTCATCCCGCGTCTGCTTCCCCGGGAGCCTCCGCAGCACCCGCAGCAGCGCGTGTGCCCGTCCCCTGCCCTCCCGTAGCTCTGGGCATCGCAGCAGAGTTGGCTCTCCCACAGCTCAGCCCATCGCAGCAGCGTTAGCTCTCCCATAGCTCAGCCCCTGGCCAGGATGGGCGCACCGGTAGGGATTGCGTGCGTGAGGAAGGAGCCGAGGGGGTATCGCACGCTGCAGGGTTAGCGCGTTTTTTTTGTTACTACTTTTGCTGTTTTAAATGATGGGTGGGAAGAGGCCACGCAGCGAAAACTGGCCGGGGCGTTCTCATATCCAGCATAGAGGGTTTTTGTCACTTCACCAGTTTGCTGTGTGATACAGACCTTCCTGCTCCATGTGTTTTAAAGGGGTTGAACTCTTGCCAGCCTACCCTGTTTTCCTGGCTATAATGCCAGATATTGCACTAAATAGAGGAGTATATTAATGAGGACACCTGCTCCCAGGGTGCTGCTTGCTAAGGAGCTGCAGGAGCCAGAACACAAACACAAAGATGAGTTTTTTTTAAGCCAAAGTATCGCTGGTGGCAGCATTTCCAGGACCCCTTCCACTGCGCATGTGGAATCTAATAGCACTGATTAGTAGTATTTTATACAGACTGATGAAACCTACTTCATTTCAAGGAACTAAAGCCAAAAGCCTCCATCCTTGTTTGACTTTTCAGCATTCTCAGAGTCAAAAAAAAAATCCTTGGAATGTGTGAATGTGTTTTTTTTTTTTTCCTTCAAAACACTTTTGCATTTAAGTAATATAAATATCTTTTGCTGGTTCAAATATACTTTAACATGAGAGTTTGGGATGTTTCTGTGCTTCCTTTAGATCCTTTGCCATAACTGACATTTTTATTTAAGCCTATAATGAAAATCAAGACATAGTTTTAAGCAATGTTTAAGACATACAATGGAAATAAATCACCAGACAACCCCAACAGGAAGCTGTGCATTGTTTACACACCTAGTTCTGGTAACATCAATAATGTAAAGGCCATGCAATCTTGAGGAGGAGCTCTCTGAATTCACATAATTTTGTTTTGACACTTGCAATGTCTCTGGGCATGCTAATACAGACAACATCTTCCTTGCAGAACGTTTACCACTTCATAGGTAGGGAAAAGGCACGTAGAAAAAAATAGAGTCTATTAAGAACAACTTAATAGCAAAAATTGTAAAATGATCACAATCACTACCAGCAAAATGAGCTGCTCAGCAGGCAGGAGAATGGAATGACTGGAGAAACACTTTTTCTTGTGCCTCTGTGATTCTCCAAACATCCCTTAATGCAACAGTTTTAACCTTTCCTCATGCCTCCCCATTCAGACTGGTTTTGGGCTTAAAGCAGAACATGTAAGAGCTAGGCAGGAGCAATGTATGTGCTCATCAGCAGACATCTCTGCTGACTCCTTGCTTTCCAATGAGAGACAAAAAGATGATCTGTCTGCTCCTCCTTTGGGTTGCAGCATACGGAAATCTTGCTTGTATTGTCACATCAAACTTACTTATCTGTAAGAGTCATTATTAAGTGTCCTTTGGAGGGCCCAGTGGTCAGCCAGAAAAAGTGTGCAGCATCATGAGTGATGTTTCTGTAGGAAACTGGACTGAACTAAGGAATAGTTTTTCTATCCCTGCTTTAATAAAATAAAGTCTTCAGACAGAAAAGAAGTAAAATACAGTATCTTCTCTTTTTTTTTTTTTTTTCTTTTCCCAAAATACGGAGTAAGAAGATGACCAAATGCTTGAGCAAGCAGGAGAGGGAGAAAGATTATGAAGGATAGGTCCTCTCAATATGGAAGAATCTCCAGGAAAAACCTGCCCACCACAAAGTCCAATTGCAAGGGGGATAGCAAAGACTTCCCTACATCACAAGAAACATTGCATCCATTAATGTTCCATTAAACATCAGCTTCCATCTGGGATAGAAACCTCAAAAACTCACAACCTCTAGACCAAGCAGTGTGACATTACCCTGAGACTGGTCTTCTGTCAGAGGACAGAAACTGAACAGATGTAAACGGGGGAAAGATTTTGTCAGGCCTGATGCGTAAGGAACACCTTAAATCTCACTGATGTTGAAGAAAAGGCTCAACGATCTAACATTTCAAAATTCAAATTCTACCTGAAATAGTGTTTTAAGTATGTTACTTAGCAAATAGCACCTAAGGCAAAAATCCATGGAAGAGCATCGAAATTACTGCCTATGTGTTTGTAAAGATCAGAGAATCAGAAACAAATGGAAAAGACTTTTTGAAAATCATCTAGTCTAATTTCTTCCTCAAAGCAGATGCAATAGGTTGTGTCCATTTGTTCAGATTCCTGTTTTGGTTGTGTTGTAGAAAGCAGAGGGTGGCCAGGCTTCCTTGAGCCCCAGTCCTGCAAAGGATCTAAACAGCCCTAGATCCTTTGCGACCCTATGGCACAACTGGGCACTTAGGTTCCCCAAATGCTTGTGGGCATGTTTTCCTTGGAGCAGCTGGAGACCAAAGGCTTTTTTATAGATCACAGTTATCAATTTAAAAAAAAACAGCAGGAAGTAATGGAAGGAACACTGTTACATTGATGGCAGCCTTTG